GACCCCAGCACTGTATGTCACGTGGTCAACGGACGCTTGTTCAACTCTTTCGAAGATAATTCTTTTTTGTTGTCTTTTTTTTTTTCCCGGAGTCATGAACTGTCCAGTTTTAAGGTGCTTACAAGCAGTAGTATTAGGTCACGCATACTTCGAATGTTCTATTTACATGCATCCGACAAAACTTTTGTTCGCAAAGTGAAGGACCCTCAGTAGTCTTCACGCACCGCCCTCACTGAGTGGTCTCTTTCGGCAGCGCCCAAACATTCCAAAAAGACTTGCCGTTTACGTGTGTGTATGTTCTTGTTTCTGCTTCATAAGCCCTGTTTTCTTTTTCAACGTTGCTGTCCAAAACGAGCGGCGAAGCCGTATACTTTGCAGTCGTGGGAAACGCCCCTCTCGCAAAGAGCATGATGTTAGTAGTGTGGTCCTGCATGACAAATTGTCTAATAATCTGCCCAAAGGTACACCTACATTCTTGTGGGGTACGAATAAGAAATAAATCTGAAAGTAAGGAGTGGGTACCGTTCAACACCTTGTCTCCGCGGGCGGTCGCATCTTTCTATCTCCCAAAGCCGAGTTTCTTATGATCTGGGATAACCCGGAATCCTTCCGTTCTGTTGTGTCGGCGGCGTAGATCCGTATCCGAACATATAAACGGATTTGGACAGCTGTTGGAAATCGCTAGTAAATGTCTTCCATATCCGTTGAAGTATATTTATAGTCAAGTTCTCAGAGTGAGATATATTGACACCGGATGTGGAAGGAAGTCCATTTTTTTTTTCAATAATTGATTTGATGTCGAAACAAGCGATATTTGGGGGGAGGGTGCGTGCAGTCGGCATAACCAACACAACAGCAAGATTATTTTACTTAATGTGTACTTGCAGCGCTTTTACAGAATCGATGTTTGTTTTTACATGTGGCGGTCGCATCGGTGCAGTCGGCATAGCAATAATGGAGGACAGTTTGTTCAAATGGAGGTCCTTTGCTCGGAGCAAACGACTTTCCTTTGCTTGACTACACATCAGATTTTAGGCCCATATTATGCAACGTGTGTTTTGTTTTGGCGTTGGTTGGGTGTTTTTAGTTATTGGTTTGAGGACGCAATGTTTGAGATCCTGCTGTAGGGTTTTCAAAGAATGCGGCAAATGATTCCTCTCGCCAATCGCACTTAAGCTTTTCTTGTCTTTTGGAGGAATATTAAATTTCGTGAAAAGAGCTACTTGGTATATTTTTTTTGTTTTGGCGCCAAAGATATTCGTAACAACACGCCAACTTATGCCGATGCGGGGGAATTTCAGATTGTTGTCAGTGGACCATAGAGATGTCCGCGCCAAACTCTCGCCCCCTTTTCGAGGCTCACCGTCCTTGCACTCACTGCGACGGTACTGCAAGGCCATCATCAAGCATGTTCTTCGGCTCTACGCATCACGAAAAGCTGCTGTGCGGACTCCTTTTGCGTGACCCCTGATGTCCGCGTCCCAACATGCCCAGAGGTGGAAAAATGACGTTCAGAGTAGATGAGAAGGAAGGCGCAGATATCTTTCAGCTAAACTTGAGCCAGGACGACCGAAGGTCCTTGGGTGACGGGTGGTGTCACCCACATGGTCGTTCAGCCGTGATGTGTTGGACTTGCTCCGCCTGTGAAGTTTACGTTCGTCGCTGTGAGCCCTACAGCAGAAACAACTATCGTTGTCATAATACGTGCGGGTGACGTTTGCCTAGCGGTGCGTCCCAAACTTGCTGCATCCCCAACACGTCGTACGACACATTGCAGTCGTATCAAGGAGAACCTACGCGTGGTGGATGTTTTTTTAGCGGAGAAGGTCCTATTGTAGCGTACATCTCATTCTGTTCTGGCTTCGCTGGAGACCGACGACATTATTACAAATGGTTAACTGGTCGATGCGAAACAAGTAAAGACACAAACACACACATCATGAGACGAACGACTACCTGCTACCTAGGCCCTCGGGTCCCCGGCCTGGGCAACTGCCTCGATCGCATGAACTCTCTCGAGCCCATGCGGTCCCTCTCGGGCAGGTACAGCCTCGCGCTCCGGCCGCCCGCCTCCCCCCGCGCCGCCCTCTCCTCCGCCTCCACCCACGGGATCCCCGAAACGCTACTACTGGACATGTCCTCGCGTCCGGCCCCGAACGTCACCCCGGCTGGAGAAGACGAGCAGCAGGGATCAGTGTCGTTTTGTAAGGAGGCCTGAACGGGCCGTCCGGGGGCCTAGGAGCCGGCCGCTTGCCCCCGAACGACCACGCCGCCGCCGCCGCCGCCGCCGCGTGGCCGGCCAATCCACCGTGGACGCCGCCCCCCATGGCGGACTCCTGGCGGTAGGCGTGGGCGCTGGGGATGACGCGGCCGTCGTCGTGGAAGAGGAACCGGCTGAGCGCCGGGTCGTACGGGGCCCCCGTCGGCTTGCGCCCGCGGGCCGGGTTGACGGCTGTCGACGAGCCGGCGGCGGCGACCTCGGCTGCCCTTAATCGTAGTCCCCGACGCCGGGTCTCAGGGCCGAGTCCCTGGTAAACTTCTCGGAAGACCCTAGCCCTAACCCTTGCAGGAGGAAAGTGTGGCACGAAAATGAATCAAAAAAATAAACGGGCCCAGTTGTTTACCCCCTCCTGTATGACCCTGGATGGTTCGTAGTTGTACGAAAAAGTACACTGGAAAGTGTAATACTCTACCAAGGGTCTTCGCGAAAACCAAATCCGGACACATAGCCCCCCCCCCGCGCCCCCCGGACGGGGGAGAAACTCGAAAAATAACCACGAATCGTCGGAAATTTACCATGAGGATAGATGAGTTGCAAATATGCCTCGCTCTCGTTACCCCTTCCGCATCCGCTCGTCAGAAGCCGGCCCACGCTCACCCAGCCGTGCTACAGGAACACACGTACGGCAGCGCCCCATATCTATAAAAGTACCGTACATATCGACCAAAGCTCGATGAGCGAAGCAGATCACAGCTGACCACCTTCCAACATAACCACCTGCCTTGCAAACTACTTGCCCTTGCCGCTTCTAGCACTGCACAACAGGGAACATAGTCTCGCAAATCTACTCGTAGCCTTGGTCTTGGGGGTTACGTTTGACTTGATCAATATACCCCGCCTACTAATGCGGATCCCTGCTTGCGAGTTCTCGCGCGGTGTCTCGCTATTACGTTCTCTGCGAGAGAGAGCTTATGGGTTGGGGAAAGGGTTGGGGTTAGAGGGCCGGACACCAAAGCACCGATGCCTCGGCGTGAAACCCGGGGATACATATATGCCCCCCCCCCCCCCCCCCCCCCCCCCCCCCCCCCCCCCCCCCCCCCCCCCCCCCCCCCCCCCCCCC